TTAGCAGGAACTGTGGATAGTGGTCAGGTGATGAAGGATTTTTTTATGATTTGGAATATTTTTTCTTATTAAGTGTGTTTGACATTGATACAGATACAGTGTTGGATGATATCTTCAAAATGCATTTAAAGTAAAAATGCGGATTTTTATTTTAAAATTTTGATTGGATGATATAATGAAAATCTTGGGTTTTAAAAGTGCGTCATTGGTGAACAAACTTCGTTAAATGAAGAGATTTGTAGACTGGTTCTTTATCAGAAATGGATTTAAATTGGCTTATTCACAGTGCTGTATCGAAAATGCTTTGCAAAAAACGGAACGGAAAGTGTTACTTTTGAGGAAGGTTAAAACTCCAGTTTCTTCATGGATTTGCTATTTTTAACAACTTAATTTCCTCGCTTTCGCTTTCCCTGATTTTTTTCTCCCTAACTTTTTTTTTTGGTTTCTGGACAAATTAAACCTTGATTTCACTCTAGTTGTTGTGTTTTAACTACTGTCCGATTTTGTTATCACTGCAGTCTGGTAATGTATTATTGGACTGCTAATTATTATCGGACGGCTACAGGTAAATTTTTAGACTGCAAGAACAAAGGCATGACGTCACAGCAATGTTTTAATATATAATACAAAATGTACTTTCATAAGTTTAATGATCAGGTAGACTTGAAAATAATAGATGAATAAAAATGAGACAAAAATAACTTATCTTTTTAAATGTTCTTTAAAGGCCAAGAGAGGCCAGTGTTAGAAGTAATAATAAGGGGTTAAAAAATAGACATTTTGTTAATAGTCTGCATGGTAATAGTGATAAATGGGGGATAGATAGATACTAGACCAATTATTATACCCCCCGCAAACGAAGTTTAGGGGGGGTATGTTGGAATCAGCATGTCCGTCTGTCTGTCCGTCTGTCTGTCCGTCTGTCCGTCTGTCTGTAGACGAGAGTTTGTCCGGACCATTTCTTGGAAACTGTTGGAAGGATTTGTCTGAAAATTTGTACACTTATTATTCACCATATTAAGGTGTGCACCTGGTATTTTCATTATGATTGGGTAATTATTTTGCATTTTACAGGTGTTTTTTTCATTTTTATTATGTGGTTTTGTCTGGATCTGTTCCCAGAGACTATTGCATAGATTTGTATGAAAATTTGTACACTTATTATTTACCATATGAAGATGTGCACCTGGTATTTTCAACATTATTTGATAATTTTTCTGCATTTTACAGGTGTTTTTTTTAATTTAATTTATTGACTTAGTCATTTCGGGTTCATCTCTAAGGTTTGAGACATAGAATCTAGAACATCTGTACAAAAATGTGAACTACAGCTTAAAACTACTCATTAGAACTAAAAAAACCCCACAAAGTATTAAAAACAGTTTTTACATTACACAGCAGATAGTGTAAATCCATTTGTCCCTTGGGAGTAATGAGTGGACATGCATCCAGTTAAAGATTAATTAATGAATTCAGTGTGGGAAGCTGTTAGGGCATCTCTGATCAAGCAGGTCTTATCTATATCTCAGGGGAATTGGGCAGAAAGAAATAAAGATCTCTGTTGTCTAAGTCTCTTACTTGTAATTTATGTCTGTCAAATACATAGTTACTAAAACCAGCCTTTTATTTTTAAAATGAGTTTGATATAAAGGTATTAAAATCAATTTGATTTTCTATAATTAATTATGATATTCTTTTTTTCAACAATCAATTTGCAGAGTGTCATGTCTCACAAAGATGGCAGATAGTTGCAAACTATTTTTTCAATGTAATAAAAAACACTGTAATTATTAGTGTTGATGTTTTATTAGGCTGCACCTTAGTTTCATTCATTAAATAAAGTGCCCCACCACAGCATGATACGCCCATCAAATATTGTTAAATTATCATAAACAGTTTGTTGTAAAGATATAAAAATTCAAATAAAAAATGTACAATAAATAATTAGTTTAAATTATATTATACAATATCATATAACTTTTAATTATTATATACAGTATCAAATTAGTTTTAATTACATCAAATTTATCTTGAAAGAAAGACTAGCCAACAAGAACAATTCAATACAACACAAGCAATTAATTAAGAGACTGATTCCTTTTGCCCAATTCCCAAGAGATGTAGATAACACCTGCTTGATCAGAGATGCTCTACCAGTTATCTCCTCACACAAAACTCATTAATTTCTCTCTAATTTGACATGCAATTTTCTGCTATCAAAATTTTCCTTGACCAGTGCCTGATCATTACACCCATGGGAGAAGTGGAATTTTTGTTGTTACAGATTGCTGTAAAGAACATAATGAAAAAAAATAAGACTAGTATTTTCTTGATTTAACACTTTTTTAATAAAGATACTGCAATACTCTGACATCTTTTGGGACTGTGTAATTTAAAAGTTAAAAGACATAGTTTTTTGATTCTAAGTCTAATGGTTTTCTAGTTATGATTTTTCCATATCTGGCCATAGCGTCTTTATTAAAGGTCAGAGTGACCTAGTTTTAATGTGCAACACACCTTCTACCCTAGATGTATCAGCTGACAAAGTTTGATAATTCTAGGCCTAATAGTATTAAAGTTATGAGCCGGACATGAAAAAGCTAACGGATGGACAAACATGAACGCTATAACATAATACGTCCCGTCGTAAGACGGACGTATAAAAATATATAATGAGTAATTAAATTTTCACTGTAAATGTTTAAGGAAATTGTGAACACCTCTCACATCTAGAAAACATTAGTGATTTGGTACTTTCTCTGAAAAACCCAGCGGGGGGTATTTGTCCCTTTTGGACAGTTCTAGTTTTGTTAATGCTTATCATTCAATTTTTTTGCTTTTGGGCAACAAAGCTTCATTTATCAGTTTATGGATCTTCTAAATTGTTGTATTGTACTCAGGTGACCGTTAAGGCCCTTGGGCCTCTTGTTAATGTGTGAATGATGACCTGCAAACCATTAAAATTCCAGGGTTTTTTTTTTAGGTCTTAAAATCAAGGGCCTGGGCCTTTCCATTTGGGAAAAAATAGCGTCATTTAGTTAAAATTGGGAAAAATATCATAATTCACATTTTTCGAGATAAATTCAAATAGGAGCCATTTTTTGATTTGCAATGCATTTATTGACTAATTTACATTCAATAAATCTTTACTGAAAATCAGCTTCACTTAATTGTTTGCTGGTATGAAGTTTTATTTAATTTTAAGTTTAATTTTTTTCTATCATATTTAGAATAACATTAATGTCATGTTTCAAATTGTCTTTTGGAAATTTTCTTCAATGAAATTGGGAAAAACACACACTTTTTACCATTGGGAATGGGGCCTATTACAGGCCCCCTACAACCCCTAAAAAAACCCTGGAATTCTGACCATTGGTAAGTATAAATAGCTCATCTGAGTCAAATGCACAAGACTATTGTTATTATGATATAAAATATTCATATATCAATACGTACCCATATTCAAGAATGTATCATATCAAAAGAAAACTTCCAACATAGATGTCGGAAGCAAATTGAAAGGGGGGGGGGCTAATTGAAAGAGGAAAAAAAATTCAAACTTGTAAAAATCTTGACAACCAAGGAAAAAAAAAAGGAAAATTGAATTGAAAATTGTCCAAAGCCGAAAATCCTATTTCATTGGGGGTGGGGTGGGGGTGGGGGGGGATCGAACTTCTTTCAGTACCAATTCTTTCAGTACATAAATACTACATTCATGGATAACTATATTTTAACTTGTTATACCCCTAATAAACAGTCCCTATATAATTTCTTACTTTAAAAAGTCCAACAGTTGGACTGTTTTCCCCGACTGTCGGTCCAGGAACTGTTAAAATAGACTGTTAAAAAAGACTTTTGCCCGTTGACATCAAATGGCACTAAATTGAGTTATCTTTTCCTCATTCAGCATACCTCGGCTGATTCAGGTAACCTTGAGTTAAATGTAATCAGCCGAGGAGTGCCGATCCAGGCGATACTTGAAAGTAGAGACAGTAAAAATACAAAAAATGTTGTGAAATTTGGCTGAAAATATTCTTGAAGCGAATATCTGGTGACTCTGGACTTATCGCTACCTCTTCTTCGGGATAAATCATCCGAAGAATTGATAGACATATTGAGGAAATTCTATTGTACCACTCGGAAGAAGGATGGGAGCATGATCGCCAAAAAAAAAAACAACCATGATTTCTATCCAATATGGTTTGCAGAAATCATTTGAAAAGTCTCACGGCATTGATATAATCAATGATCCTCGATTTAAGACTGCAAACGATGTCTTTTTTGCTGCTATGGTGCAGATAAAAAGGGAAGGGTTGGGAGAAGTTAAACACAAAGAAGTTATCAGTGAAAAGAACTTGGAGACTTTGTACTCCAGCAGTGTACAGTGGCGCTTCGTTTATCCAGACACCTCTTTCCCCAACGAAATCATCTGGATAAATGAATCATCCAGATAATTGAATCACCTCTCAAAAAACTCTCTCCAAGCATGTGTATATATATATATATGCACATTGAATTCTTGTATTAAATGTGACGGCAAAGCAAAGAGACTTTAATATTTTGGTTTATTGCTTTTTATTTTATAGTTTTAAAAGAAGGAAAAAATGTATTAAAATGACGTAATTTACACAATAAAAAATGGATAGACAATTTTATGCAGAGACCTCCTTTTTAAACACATTGAATTTTATTCACCTTTTCCTTGGTATGTGACTTCATGGGCTGAGCAAATTTTGATCTACCGTTTTTTTTATTTCGCCATATATTAAAATTATTGAAGTTCATATGATATGACAGAACTGTTCAACATCATCATTGAAAATGTTCAAATATAAACTAACTAGTGTTGTACCAATAATCATAAAACATCGAAAATGCTACAGATTCCAATGATCAATTATATTTTTCATAATCGATCATCAGAAACATACTTCTAATACAATGCATTCCGGAATTATCCATTTCTGGTTTAAAATTTATTTCTTCTTAATGAAAGAAAATGGCGTTTGCACCTGATACTAGCCAACTAGCACGAAGCAGAGGTGATTAAGAACCGAAAGGTGCATATACAGGGCCTAAAAAAAATTATTTTGTTTCCTGTAACCCAACCGACCCATTCAATTTACCCCTGGGTGGATTTTTTTTCTGCCAAATCTGTATTTGCTCTTTGGTTTGATCAATCAGCTGATTCTTTTTATTCCAAAAATATTAAATTGTATCTTTTATTTGAGATATACAGTAATATATGCAACTTAGTCAACATTTACCTTAAATATAAAGAGTAATCAATTCCCCCCACAACTTTTGAGGTTCGTTTTCTGCCGCTAGGCAGCCATGTTGGGTGTCCACTGAAAATATAACACCTGGATAATTCAGTTCCGGGATGTTTGACCCCATTATTCATAAGCAAAAAAAAAAAAATCCCGACCTACGGACCTTTGATTTTTTGGGAATGTTACAGGAAACGAACATAATTTTTTAGGCCTAGAAAGTATAAAAGAAGCAAAACAACAAAGAAAATAATATATTATATATTTTATATATTCATGTTAAAGAAATAATATGAAATAATTGTAATAGTCTGCTTTTTGTATACAAAACTATGAAATCCGATTATAATCGGTAAATCGCATCGGAAGTGGTAACCGATTCCAACCGATGATCGTTTATGAAAATTAACTGATGTCCCATCACTAAAACTAACCCCATATATTCATTACACAGGGTTACAATAAAATTCTGAAAGCTGCAAGATAACTCAAACGAGTGCAGTCAATGAAAGTATTAAAAAAATCAACGTAAACACAAGCCATATCTTCATGATTATCAATATTTTTTCTACAGACTCTTAAGTTTGAATTTAACAATACCTTGAAAAACGTATTCAACTTCCTTACGTAACGCCAGTTTCATATTTCTTTTCTAAAGTAATGTACGTTTATATACAGTTGTACATTTAAAAGAAAGATATTTCTTTATTTATGTACCTTTCTAAACTGTCTTCTGGGTAAAAAAGCGATTCAAATACCTTTACGTTTCTAGAAATGGAAACGTGTTTTAACTAACGCAATCAACATGATAAATAGCAGCAGTGTTCGAAATTCAGAATTATTTTCTAGGGGTCCAAAGGACCAACAGATAAAGGGACTACACAAGTCCTTCCAGGACAGCGTAGGCCCAAAAATAATACCCTAAAATATTTTGTAAAAATAAACTTTTATTGATGATCTTGGTAAGTTTATCAGTTCATATAAAACATGTCAATTTAACCATGTTAACAAAGGGTATCTACAACTCAAAAGTACACTATATTAACAATATGAAACAGTAAAACATTAAAAGTCACTCAGTCCAACTTGGTCATATGTTACACCTAACGAGTTTAAAATGTGTTTATATTACTGTAAAAGTACATTTTTCCACGGGCTCAAACTTTTACGGAATTACAATTTCTGTTCGTAAAATCTGCGGGTAGAAAATTAAGCAGGTTTTTTAGATTGCCAATATGTGTTGATAAAATGTGCTTTAAGTACACTGGGACAAATTTCCGCAGAAAGTTTGTAACCGTATACATAAAGCGTAAATTTATACTATTGCAAAAAAAAAAATCTTCAGTATTTAATTAAAAAGCACATGAAAAGAAGAAATGATACAATCTGATAAAAATAGCTAGTTTTACCCATCTCAAATCTAATTTTTTTTAAAGACACTCATTGGTCAATTTGTTTAAGATATCCAATCAAAATGCATGAAAGATAAAAAAGTTAATTAATGTAAATGCATAAACCAACATACGTCAATTTCAATCGCAGCTTCTTGGTCCTTTCTGACAAGCAGTTAAAAAACTGCGTTTTTCCAAGCTTGTCAGAAAGGTCTGAGAAGATGCAATCGACGTTATCTTGTTTCCCGGTAAATCATCGTCAGCCCAAAATTATTTCAAGGACCCTGGTGATTTAGTAATAGTATTCATGAGTCCTTCCATTTGTACATCGGCGCAGGACTGACGGACCGACGCTAATTTCGAACACTGAATAGCAGTACAAAATTGCTCATAATTTATTGTTCATTTTATTTACAACTCTCCAAAATTCTCATGAATTTACCAATGTATATACGGTTAGCAATATTATTTTGAACGGATTATTATTTAATTAATGCACAGTGTAAGCTTAATTTTTAGAGCTTCATTAAGGTGTGATTTAATTGGGGTAAATACACACTAATTATAGATGCTATTGTTTGTAGGTCACAGGTAACCGCCTTCAAACTGACTGCATGGCCAATGTTTTTACATCAATTAACACTACTACAAGATAACTGTGAAAAAGTCGTTTCTTGAAAAATTACCGTTCGGATAAACGAGTCATTTTTCAATGAACTATTACGTTTTGTAGTACAAATCGACCGTCCGTATGCGGAACGCGATTTTCCAGATTAACAAGACAAAACAATGTGGAAAAAATTGGTTCCCAAAAAATATCGCCTGGATGGTGAAGCGTCTGGATAAATGGCGTCCAGATAAACACAGCTGCCACTGTATTTAATGTTAACTTGCCAAAAACACTCCTAAACAAGGTTTTCTTCGAAATTATGTTGTATTTCTGCAATTGCGGACTCAAAAAACCTCAGAAATATGAAAAAATACAGATTTTGTAAATTAATGGCATATCTGAGCATAGATCAGAAAATAGCTTAAACATTAATCAACCAAGCTAAGTGATGCCAAGAAGTGTAGTATGTCTGACGCCCTGGCAAAGAAGTTAGCACCTGTCACTGTACATAGAGAAGCCCTGAAGTCTATCACTAACGTCCAGACAAGTGTTCCTGCCTCCACAGCCACAGACCAATCACATGTACTTTCAGATATTGTTGATGTTAACGACCAAGAACTTGCTCTCCTTCTTGACAACCCAATGTTTGGAAATCTTCAGGACACGAGCATCAGTATCCCTAACGTGAATTCCACAAAATCAATGTTTTCTTTTCATGGATGTAACGTTACCATTAACAATTAAAATGTGTAGATTTGTTCAAATTTATTGTTGAATTGAAATGTAAATTTTATTCTTCTACATGTTCTAGCTTATTGCCTCTGTTTGTTATGATTCTTGTTTAACATGTAATATTTGTAAAACCTTTGTTCAAGTGCGAAGGCAATCCCTTTCATGATTGTTGATTAATACACGTAAAGTCTCTCTCTCCCAAAGTAGTTTATTTTCTGTTAAATTTATATCAAAACAGTTGTTGACTGGAGTCTCGGGAAACAGTCGATCTGTTGGACCGGAGTGCAAGCTGTTGCCCGTGGCCTACGGCATTGGGCAACAGTTGGCACTCCAGTCCAACAGATCGACTGTTTCCCTCTATCCCAGTCAACAACTGTATAATGATGGTACGAGGGATGATCAAAAAGTTCACGAACTACTTGAATTACTTCTTTAAAAGAAATAAAATGAGGTTTTAGTGCTCATTATTTTTTAAAGTAGTCCTCTCCGATTTTAATGCACATCTCTCATTGTTCTGCCCATGCGCTAATCACTTGGTCTAGGCAGTCACGTGACATGTTCCGTAGCGGTCTGTTCACAGAAGCTAAAAGATTACTCCGAATCTTGTATTTCTTACCATGCAAGTTATTTTTTATAACAAAAACAGTCCATCTGTCAGAAATGGCCAAATTTTGGCAATAGGATGGGTGGATAATGATATCCCTTCCTAGAATTAGCATGATGATCATCAAAACCCGAGTCCTCTGTCTCAGGAGCGTCGTTTATCCAATGTGGATAAAGTATGGGCGACCTCTTTTTATCATATCTCTCATGTTTAAAGTCTAAATTAAACGATATTTTAGGGATTTAATAATTATATTATTGTTAAGATATTCAACTATATTTCTAATTGTAACTTGGCAATCTTTCATAACAAGTTGCTCAACTAAGGACACATCTTTTCCATGGCTTGCTTTAGCTGGGCAACAGAACAAACATCATTTTTAACCATCTCCCTGCCTTCACTAAAACAATTAATCCATTTAATGATTGAACTTCTGGTAAGTCTTTTGTCTTCATAAACCTGGTACAAATTATCATATTCTACTGCAAAGGAATGTTCAAGATATACATTAAACTTTACAGCCGTTCGTTGCTCAAGTACGACTGAGTCAACCATTTTTTGTCACAAGTCACATACATAATGAGGTCATTTTCACACTGTGATGTCACAAACACGGAGCAAAACATTATATAACACCTTCTATTTATAAAATATGTGTATGAGTATATGTGTGCCAAATTTCATTCTGATCTGAATTGTAGTTTTGTAAATATAGAGATAGTTCGCTAACTTTTTGATCCCCCCCTCGTATATAACAGTCCTTAAAAGTTTGAATTTGAAGTATATTTTGTAATGACAGTGAGATAAGAACTTCAAAAAAGGTTATTAAAAAACTCATTTTGATAGACTAGTTGAAGAATCCAATGTATCGCACATCGCTTTATAAAATATTCATCGTAACAAAATTATTTGCTGAATACAGCAGCCCTTGCAGTGGCTGTATTGAAACAGAAGATTTAATTTGGAAGGGAAATTACACCAGAGAAAGATCAATGTATTTTACAACTTTTTAGGTCACCTGAGTCACTCAGTCTGTTTTTTCGTCCATCGTCGTGTGACATCCTTTGTCATTTGTCCATTGTGCGTTAACATGTGGACATTTTCAACTTCTCTAGAACCACAGTATCATGCAATTTCAACGAATTTTGGCATTTAAGGTCTATGCATTGGTAAAGAGAAACAAAATTTATGAATTTCATGGTCCTTTCCCCCCCCCCCTTCCATGGGGCCTGAGGATGGGGCTAAAAACATCAAAATTAGTGCAATTTTTAAAAATCTTGACCCTGGGTCAGGGGTTTTGGTGTTGTGGTGGGGCTAAGTGAAATTTATGGCTCTGGGTCAGCTTCTGGTGTTAGGATGGGGCTTAATTTTGTTCATATAGTGAAATTGCATCAATTTTTTGAAAATTTTCTCTTCTCTGTCCCTTGGTATCAAGCAGACAAACAGTCGATCAGTCCGTCAGTCCTGTTTTTTCATCAGCGCAACTCCTCTTAAACCGCTGCACAGAATATTAGGGCTGTGCAATAATATCGATATTCCGGTATATTGCGATTCGTTAAAAAAATATCCTATTGCGATATGTTTTTCCATTACTGATATATTGGTAAAATGCTTGGGATTTCTAAAGTAAAATATGAAATTTAAGATGCCAGAAAAGCTTTCAATCATGCCAAACAATAAGGTTGCTGTTGTATGGTTGTATTTCGTTGCAGAACTGAAGTGAAAACGACAAGACCTTTTTTTGCTACAAAGAATTTATAATACACATAGAGTTTTATTCACTCTGTTTATAAAAGGAGGTTAATAAAATAGTTAGAAAAGAGCATTTTTACTGTTATAAAAAATATTGCAATACATATCGCAATACAGTTTAAAATATCGCAATACGAAATTCCCAGCCAATACCCAGCCCTACAGAATATCGTCAAACTTTGCAGATATTTAGGACACAGTGTGTAGATGTGCATATTGCCAGGAAATTCTGATTCCCTTATTTTTCTGGGAATTTTTGCACTTTTCAACTTAGATTTTTGGCCATATCTTGAATATTGAGATTAACAGTTTGTCAGAGCAACTCCTCTTAAACCACTGCACAGAATTTCATCAAACTTTGCAGATATTTAGGACACAGTATTGAAGAAAATTTTCCAGCTAGGTAATAAGGAAATCCACTTGAATCAGCTTTTGTAATGAAATTTTGTGTGAAATATTTTATGACCTTAAAAGACCCCTTTTGATTTTGAGATAAAAAATATTAATGATTCAACACACACACACAAAAATCTTGGATAGAAGTACACAAAAAGCCCCCCCCCCCCCCCCCCCACACCTCAAATTAGTGCTTAATGCCTTAAATAATTTCATTAGTACAGACTATATAAACAAATTTATATGACTACAACATAATATTGTTACCATCAATCATTTAAATGTGTAAGTTGTCATGTGTTGGACATGGACTTACACTCATTATAAATTGAAATCACTGAGGAATTAAAAAACAGTTTGTCAGCATAACTCCTGCACTGAATTTCCTGATACTTTGTAGGTATTTCAGACATGATGTGTAGATTTGTATATTACCAAGAAATTTTGATTCCATTATTTATCTAGAAACTTCAGCCCAATCAAATTTGTAACATACAAAGATATGAATGTCATTATATGCAGGAAGATTTGATGTGATGATTTTTTGCAAGTTATGCCCCTTTTTAGCTCACCTGAGCCAAAGGCTCAAGTGAGCTTTTCTGATCAAAATTTGTCCGTTGTCTGTTGTCGTCGGCGTCGTCAGCGTCGTTGTTGTCGTAAACTTTTCACATTTTCATCTTCTTCTCCAGAACTACTGGGCCAATTTCAATCAAACTTGGCACAAAGTATCCTTGGGTGAAGGGGTTTCAAGTTTGTTCAAATGAAGGGCCACGCCCTCCTCCAAGGGGAGATAATTACGAAATAGCAAAAAATTAATGGCATTATTGAAAAATCTTCTTATTAAGAACCAGTGGGCCAGGAAAGATGAAACTCATGTGGAACTATTGTCAGGTAGTGTAGATTCAAGTTTGTTCGAATCATGACCCCTAGGGATAGGGTGGGGCCACAATGGACGATCAAAGTTTTACATAGGAATATATAGGAAAAATCTTCAAAAATCTTCTTCTCAAGAACAGCAAAGCTATGATTGGTCATATTTATTTGGAAGCATCCTCAGGTGATGTAGATTCAAGTTTGTACAAATCATGACCCCCAGGGGTAGGGTGGGGCCACAATGGACGATCAAAGTTTTACATAGGAATATATAGGAAAAATCTTCAAAAATCTTCTTCTCAAGAACAGCAAAGCTATGATTGGTCATATTTACATGGAAGCATCCTCAGGTGGTGTAGATTCAAGTTTGTACAAATCATGACCCCTGGGGGTTGGGTGGGGCCACAATGGACGATCAAAGTTTTACATAGGAATATATAGGAAAAATCTTCAAAAATCTTCTTCTCAAGAACAGCAAAGCTATGATTGGTCATATTTATGTGGAAGCATCCTCAGGTGGTGTAGATTCAAGTTTGTTCAAATCATGACCCCCAGGGGTAGGGTGGGGCCACAATGAACGATCAAAGTTTTACATAGGAATATATAGGAAAATCTTTAAAAATCTCAAGAACAGCAAAGCCACGGTTTGTCATATTTATGTGGAAGCATCCTCAGATAGTGTAGATTCAAGTTTGTTCAAATCATGACACCCCCCCCCCCCCCCCCCCACTCCCTTTTTAGGAATAGGTTGAGACCACTTATGCATTTAAGCTTTTCAATACTAAACTGATTTTTCCTTTTTTCCTAGCCACAGTGCTCAGGTGAGCGATGTGGCCCTTGGGCCTCTTGTTAAATTATACTGTGTATTTAAAGTGCACCGTGCCATTCATCATGCGTTGCATTGTCAAGTTTTGGGGGAGCGTGGAGTATGTGAGCTTGCTCACTTTTTCTTTCATTGAATGCAAAGTTACTTTTGATCCATTTATAGTAAGGACCTGATATTTGGACATATTATAATGAGTCTCCATCCTTTATAAATAATTAAGGTCAAGGTCATATTAAGAGGTTGAAGGTCAAATATTATGATATCATCTAGTGATTCTTTCAGTTTTATGCATTGAATATTTTTTTAATCGCCTCAGTTCAATTTCCCTCATTTTGACACATTTTAATCTGGGTTCCAATTCAATCATTCTGTTGATTTTTTTTTGTCAAAATTGAATTATAAATACATTATTATTTTCTCATCAGAGAACTTAGGTCTAGCATACTTACATGTGAATTTTCAATTCCAGGGCTATGTGTGTTCTATTTTTATGCCCCCTTTGAAGAAGGAAGGGCATATTGCTTTGGTTTGTCTGTCAGTCTGTCAGTCCACCAACAGTTTCCGTTCATTTTCTTCACAGAGGTTGCAAGTACTGAAATGAAATTTGGTATACAGATTTATAATAAGAATATCTAGGTCAAGTTCTGTTTTGGGTACGATTGAGCAATTTTTGACAGTTATGCCCCTTGGCATGTTCTAAGAAAAGCCCCCAGTTGACAAGAATAGCACTGCACTGGACACCAGA